TGGAAACAATACTAATGAGCATTTTATGCTAAAAGTGTCTTCTTCGAATAAAAAAATGCGGCTTGTATCGAAATTTACACAGTAATATCCAGTAATTTTTACCCTGATCAGACAACTTGGACAGTGCTAGAGCTTGTACCCCTCTCTCTAAACTTACACACAAATGACATTTTCCCCATTCAATAATTATTATGTGGGAGAAAAGAAACAGTTTTTCATATTCATCTTTATTTATACCGGCAAAATTGTTTTTTTTTTCTACAGAAGAAGGAAGAAAAGACCTCTATTTGATTATATACCGACGCATTGTTCAAGGTCTAAATTGACCATAGTTGAGCTATCAGTGCAGCAAAATAAAATTTAAGATAAAATTAATCTCCTAAGCATACAAACCGTTTCAAATTGCTGTGAATCAATTTATATCACTATATATTTTTGGAGTGAAAAAAAAAGACATCAACTATTCAGCAACATTCTTGAAATTTAGCAGAATAAAATAATTTTGAACTTCTCTTTCTCTCTCTTTTGATGAATATTTTCTTAAGAATGTTCAAGCCTTAAATCACAGTGCAAACAAACGATATACTTATTTTGCATTTCTTTCTAGCACTAAACTAAATTTATGTGCGCAACGTGTTTTAAACTTGAAAGTAAAATGTTAATCGCAAATTCTACGTTTCCGTTTGCAAATTAAGAGAACAGGTTTTATGATTATTCTAGCCTAAGTATAAGCTTCCTTTAAACTTTTTTAAAAATCTTCAACTTTAACTTCTTGCGTCTTTATGTATTTGTCATGCAGATCAATAATTTTTGTTAGACGAATATAAATTTCTGGTTAAATTTTTTTAAATTTCTTTTAAGTTTATCCGACCTAAGTAAACACTTATTGTTCAGTAGTATCAGATTTTAGTTCTTTATTGCGAAGGCTTGAAGTAGGCATACGAGCGCAAAGGGTTAATTAAAATAAATCTTCTCTGGAAATTCATCTACAAAAGTTTATTTAAGGTAAATGTTGTATTTGACCTTTATTTTATACATATTTCTCTTGTGTAGTTTTCTTATTTAAAAAAAGAAAATTAACCTAGATAAATTTTTGCGTTCTCTTTTTTTATGAATGAACTAGCTATTCCCTCCTTTATCGTATTGCAGCTCCTCCGTTGTGAGAATTTTGTTTAAAAGATACGTAAATGAAAATATTTTACGTCATTTAAATGTGGCTTTCTGTTTATATGTTGAGGAAAAAAAACTGACAATTTCACGTTTTGGTATAAATATGTTTACAACGTTGATTGACTACCCATGAAACAAATTTTTAAATTTGTGATCTGCATTAGACAATGCTGTGGCAAGATGTCAAATTTGTAACACTTTGAATGTTGGCTTGTCATTCTCGCCCACAAAATGTGTGGCACCGAATGAAGTCAATTGGAAACATGAATTCTACCGGTGTATATTCATTAAGAAATGTCTCGATTGGTTTGTTTGATCAGATATCAGCGTTGATAATGGTTCGGTTTGTGAAATTAACTCTGTTAGTTTCACTTTCCCTCCAGGACCATAGTGAAATGTGTTAAGATTCAAATCAGCGTATTGGCATCGCATGTTCCCAATTTGTTTCTATTCATGCTTCTCCTTTTAGACCAACGGGATTAGGCAGTGTGTACTCGATTGGTTGCCAGTCTTACGTCTCGTTGCTCAGATGTTTCTGAAACACGAGGTTCCTCTTTTTTTGCGAGTTTAAGGTGTTTTATCGACTAATAGCGCTTCGTTTAGGTGGCATAATTTTTCAAATTCCTCTTCTCACAAACAAAAAGAAATGGCAATGTTCATATTTATTCTAAATAATAATAATAAATATATATCTATATAATGTAAATATTCACCATGAAAAACCATTATTTACGTTGATTTTACGTGTGCTCACCTGACATAAAAACCAGAGATAAATAATAATTAAAAATGTACCATAAATTCTTGCTGAAACTAAGTTTTTGTTAATTGGAGGTGTAAGCTAAAAAAGGAATCGTCAGCAATTTAAATTGCAACAATGCGTAATTTTATCCTATGAGGAAATCGGTTCTCTGCTCATCCCACTCGTAAGGATGGCTGGCAATCGAATGTTCTTATGTCGACAGTTGCCTTCACCGTTTTTCGAACTATTGATATGCCAAATTTTATTCCTCTCGGTCTGATGGTTTAGGAGTCTATAAAGGACAGGCGGATATTCATTGGTATACATATCGATATGTTTGATATTCACTTTTTTCCATTTATATTTTGAAGCAACTTGCTGGAAAGTAACACCAAGAAATTTAACGTATAACATTTCTGGAGTTCAGCAGTTTATTTGTTGATACCATCTTAAAAGCCACGCATATAGTATTCTCTCCGCCTCCATTTTTTTTTTTTTTTTAATCGGTGGGTTGAATTTTTCGACTACTAATATGTTGCGGTGCAAATGAAAAAAAGCATGCTCCAGGATAGATTTCTAGAAAAGTGGATTGACAACTACTTTTTTCTGTTTCTAATGTTATGAACGCTAAAATGGAATTTCAAAGAACCGATCAAACAGAATTTATTTATGAAAAAAAATTATTATTATTGCAATCAGTGGATTATTATGCAAAGATGTCTAGTGTATATAAGTATCGATTTTGAATTTTTTGTTGCTTACGTCGATTTTTCTATTGCACGACATATCGATTTGAAAGTTTTGTAACGCATACTTTTAACTGTGCTATCGTTTTTTTTCAATTGTTTTTTTAAAAAAAACTTCATTAGTTTCAAACATTATATTGAAGCAATTGAAGATAGATTCTTCTATCGGTAAAAAAATGCTATAAAATGAACATTTGACACAATAAAAAATGAAGGTGTTGAAATATGAACATAGACATATCTAAAAAAGTCCCTCCCTTGGGGTGTAAAACAAGCCATTGTTGTCACAGAAGTTATTTTTTTGTAATTTCGTTATTTTAGGATAAATTTTAAAAAAAATGCACAGTGTCTTGCTCAGAGGTTGTTACTAATTTTTCACTCCGAATTAGTTCGTTTTCTTTTTTCTTTTTCTTTTTTTTTGGAGTTTTCCTTTTCCTTTTGGAGTTCCAAATTTCCCCGAATGGCATACTTAGCTCTTTTATTTGGGATCAATCAAAAAATAACAAATGAATTAAAAAACTATGATCATTTGATATTTGTTTTGAATAACAATATCGTATTCGGATGACATTGGATATCGTCGAACATTTGTGTTGAGGGAAAAAAATATCAGGAATTCGATAAATTGTTTATCAATAAATAGAAGAAAAACAGAACTCAAGATTGTTTTATTGATGGCAGTTAGAATTGCTAAAAATGGACTATAACTCGTTTAGTTCTAATCGTGATATATTTTATTAAAATTTCGATTATAGATGTAATTTTCTTCGAATAACATATTCTTATTTGATAGTGCTCATTTGACACATCTTTTTAAAGTATGCCGTTGATTAAGAAAAAAAGTTTGCATTGATTAAAAACAATTCTTAAATTTTCGCAATATTACGCAGGAAGGTACCAGGGATACCAGAACCCCCCCCCCTCTAATATGTAAGCGTAATATCTCGAAAACCACTGTACAAGCATCATCACACTTTTGAACTAAACAATAATAACAACTGAATGCGTTTTGCACATGCTGTAATTTTTTCTCTTTTGTTTTTAAGCATATTAATTCTCTCTTTTTTAAAAAAAAAGAACTTTTGAAGCTCTTTTTTTTCTTTCTGATCGCCCTGTATATGCTCTCTCGAATAATGTGGAAAATAACTTTATTTGAAACTCAATGTAAATTTTCTTGACAAAATTACACTTATTTATTTTCTAACTCATTTTTACTTATTGTTGCTTTACTTAATTGGTTCAAAACACTCTGTTAACTTATTGTTTTCAATACAGAACCCTTACGCAAAGAAAATAAGAGCAAAACAAATATGAAAAAAATGCCACCCCTCCCTTCTCATTACAAGACAGTCCACTTAATGGATGCCTCCCGAAGAAGCAAATTTTTTTAAATTAGCAATACCATACACGTTTCTTAATAATCGATTCTTTTTAAATTAAATTCTTTCATGCTCTTGTCTTCAATTTAGCTGACAAAAAATCTACTTGTGAAAATATGAAAATAATTATCTGGTGTTTCAATAACATTCAATTTCTTATTTCTACTTATTGCTTTTGTCTCTCCTGAACTTTCAAAAACGCTTCTCTTATATCAATTTAATTCCAATTAGATTCCTGCTTTTCCAATAAATCTCTCTTGGTTGGATCTCTTGTCCCCCCCCCCCACACACACTTTCTTTTTGTTCGTCGCCTTTTGTACTTTTAGATACTAATTACCAATCGCATTGCTTTGCCAGTAGTGACACATCTATTCTAGAAAAATACACTATTTCGTGATATCATGGGCTTCATGGTTTGTCTTGAAGGAGGAAACAAACCTGGGGGGAGAAGAAAAGTTACAATTTCCATTTATGGGGTGGGGGGCCGCTAGGGGCGTACTTGCGCAATGGCTTTCGAATCCTGAGCTGATCCGAGCTGCGCCCCTATTTCGTCACCGGCAAAACAAGCCATTACTTCTCAGAAAGTACGGCCGGTCGCGTCAGGTAAGCGACCTTACTTGATACGAGACGGTTTTCGCCACTCGTGCTCCTGTAAATGATGCGTCCCTGCCGTCTGTACGACTCGATGCTTCTTCATGATGGAAGTTGAAGTTGTTTTTTGCTTCCTGAAATTAGATGAGCGTTATTTTATACCCCCTCGCAGATGTAAATAAATTTGAATCTCCCGTAGTTTCCCCTTGTTGTAAATTCGTGTAGTTTTTAGTAACTGGTTTAGTATTAGGTGATTTTGTTCAAATGTGGAAAAATTCAAAGTCCATTTGGATGCGAAAATGATGGACTAAGCAGACTATAAGTGATAGTTTATCTTTTAAAGAAATTGTATCAGTTGAACTGATATTTGAAGCATATCTATTAAAATATATATCATTAAAAACTGAGCTTCTTATTGATTGGATTTTATTCTGTTATTGTTCAAAGGAGCCAAAGTATTTACACAGTTATGTCCTTATCAATTATATCAAATCATATTTTCTGGTAAGTTAATTTTTTTGTTATGTTTCTGTAAAAAAATTGGTTGAAGCTTTTTAGTGTTATATTTAAGAAATTAATAAATATATTGACTGCTAAAATAAATTAGGGGAAAAAAAATTTAACTTAAAAAACGTATACATATTCTCAGCTTGTGAAACATATTTATTGTTTGAAATATACATTTTTTTGCAAAAGACATCTATTTAGCAAGTTTATAGAGTTCAATTGGAATTTTATGTATTATATATAATTTTTTATTTTATTTTTAGTTTGATTATATGATATAATTCTGTACCTTTGCATTAATTTTCTCTGGTTAATATTTTCTAAAAAAATGTGACGAGAGTGCGTTATTTTTTAAACTAAAAATCCTGAAATAACACTTTAAAAAAAAAAAAAAAAAAAAAAACACGAAAAGTATTCAAATTTTTAGATCTTTTAAATGGGGTTGAAAAGGCTTCCTTAAATATTAAATGTCATTTATAAAGTTATTTGAAAGTGTATAAAAACTATTTGAGAATAATTTGCTAAGTTTTTTAATAATTAAATCATTTAAGCTTTTGACCAAAATGTTATATTTAATATCATAAAATTTGATCTAAATTTAATCCAACATGCTGCAAAGGTTTTATATTTTGTAAACTAGTATATCTATTTGTTTCTCAGACTTTAATGTATGAAGGAAAAATTTAACAAATAACTTATTATATAAGTGTAAAACTGTGCTATATCTATCACTTCTCTTTATTAGTGACTACCCATGCTCGCATTGCTCAACAATTCTGACGATTGCTTGTTTTTTTAACCCGATTGTTATATCTAAATTAAGTATTATTCATTTAAAAGCTCCCAAGCGTTTTATTCTATTAATGAAGATCTGTTTCTATAGATTTATTTCTGATTCTAATGGGGGGAAATTTCTGAATTTAAACCTACTCAGTTTGAGGAGTTTTTTTTTTTTTTTTTTTTTTTTTTTTTTTTTTTTTTTTTTTTTTTTAGTTGTTATAAAGATTTGTTAAATAATTTTGCCAGAATGTTTGGCAATCATTTGAAAAGTGAATGCTTAATAATATATAAAATGTTTAGATTTAAATTCATTATTTTAAATACATTTGTCGATTACCCGCAATTATACATAAGAATTATTTATTTTAAGTATGTAAACTTTTTTTAACAAGTGAATATAACTTATCAATCGTTTAATTAAAATATTTCAAAAAAATAGCTGTAGGGATTAAATAAGTTAAACATAAACTGTGTAATAGCGAAAAATAGTTAACAAATTCAATAATTGTATATTAATGCATATTAATTATATTAAAGATACCGGAAAGTAATTTCGTTTCGGCGCATTAAATATTCGCTAGTCTTTAAAAACAATTCATTTTTTTTTTTCGATTCATTTCTATTCATTTTCGATCCGGCATTGAAAGGTGGTTGCTAACGTGGGTAAACATATTATTGATTAAAAATGAAATTTTGACAACAAAATATCAAATTCATCGAAACGACATTACTTTCCGGCCCCTTTAATACTTGCAATCAAAATCTCTGATGAAACTACCCTCAAATAAAAGATGAACGATTGATTTGCAGGTAAATCGTTAAAACTTTAATTTTAGACTCACGAAAGCCAAAGACTCTCTTCTCCTATTCGTGAATTAAAGATTCTTCCATAAAATTTCCTTTGGCAATAAGAATGCACTAACGAAAATGAGGAACAGTTTTAGACCGATTTCTTTTTGTATAATATAAAGAAATATAATTCTTTAAATAAGAATAACAATAATGATATGAAGAAGCCACCGTTCATGGCACTTTTTCTGTTTCTTGAAACTTAAAATAACGCTTAGAAATGAATTATATGTGACGTTTTTTTCTTTATAAATCATTTGAAGAGTGTGAGAGAATATAGTAGACTGTGATACTTTTTCCAAGGGTGAAATTTTTAAATCAGAATAATCCTTAGCATTGTTTTAAGGTAGATACTTAGCGCATTTCCAGAATTTTCTCGTGATAACAGCTAAATATTCAGGAAAATCTTATTGCATTCATCAAAATCGTAGTGTTTAAAATAAAAAAAAATCATAAGTTATGTTTCTCCAAGAATTAGAAAACGCGGTTTGTAATATTGTTCCTATACTCAGAATTCTGCTGCTTTCTATTTCATATATTACAATGATTTATAGGGTTATTAGTTAAATTCAAATTCTTCAATTAATCATTTTAATACAGTCTTTTGTGCGAACCATTATAAATTAAGTCCAATTTTGCTAATTAAGAAAATGCATTTTTGTGAGAAGATTTACGAATTCCTTTTAGGTAGCATACGTAGTTTTGTAAACACTTATATATTTCCTTGTATTAAAATAGCAACTTTGTTCAGTTTTATTATCTTTTACATTGAATGCTCGTTAATGAAACTAACCCATGACATTAAAAGTGAAGATCTTTGTTTTTTAATTTTGTATTTTTTTTATCAAGGAGCTTTTGTTATAATAAATTTTAATTAAAAATGTCTTTTGTTTACATTATCTAGGAAGAATTTAAGAGAATTTTTTTATTTTGAAGTTTTCTAATTTTTAGTGAAATGAATTAAAATTTTGCTTTGGATGTTTTTAATTGGATGGTGTTTTAGAGGGGAAAAAAATTTGCCTACGGGTTTTTGAGTTTTTCGCCTTATTTATTGAAGTTTAGAAGTAACAAAAATAAACTGTAATATATAATAAAATATCTGTTGTGTTTGAAGATAGACAGAACCATAAGCTATCTTTTATTTTTGTTTTCTATCTCCTATTTTAAAACTTAATGTTTTTAATCCACTATTAGTCTAGTGATGCATCACACCATCCAATTATTTTCTCTGTGTTCATCATCTTTTTTATTTATTTTGTTGATATTTCCGCACTTTAACTTGGAAAAAAAATTACCTCGCTGTGAAATATCAAAATTTGTTCTGCTTCAATAGGTTTCACCGTGAAAAAATTACTAATGTTTTCTTATAGAAGTTTGTTAAATTTATTTTCTAAAGAAGTTGTTGATTCTTGATGAGAAATTTTGTTTTCATTTTCAGGGTGCTTACTCAACAAGCGATGGTCGCTTGGGGGTGTTCGAGAAAGATCTAGTAGATGACCAGCCGGAGATGGAAACTTTCGAAGTCGAACTAGTCAAGGATCAACAAGGACTCGGAGTCACCATCGCCGGATACGTCTGCGAAAAAGGTCAGGCATTTTCCATTTTTAATACAAAATTTTTCCTACACATTTTTAGGTTGTAAATTAATTTTCTTTTCTTTTCTTTTTTTTTTAAAAAAAAAGAAAAAGAAAGACACAGCCCTTCAATTGAACCTCTAACTGTTAACTCTTTAAATCAGAATTTTTATGAAACACATTTTTTCATTATTTTGTTTTAATTTAGGTCAAAATAAGTGAAAAATATTACATTTAGCATCTTAATTTATCGTTGTGAAATACAGCATGAAACATTGGTGTCTTTTTCTGGGTCAAAGGTAAAATCTTTCAAACACGGCTCAATTTCAAATAATAATTTTCCAGATTTTCAGTTATTTATGTCAAGAGAAAGTTACTCATCATTGAAATTTCTTTAATTTACAAAATCTATTGCTCATAAATCTTTGAATATGAATTCTAATTACTTTTATGGATTTTATATATATATATATNTTTCCTCATTTGTATTTCTTTCCGGACGCCGGTGTCGAATTTGTGTTAAGGGGTTAATAGGTTGAGGAAAGGATGTATTTACTTTTCCCCCTGCTGGAATTTGCTGTTGAGCAGCAGACGATTTTTTAGTAATCGGAAATATCTCTTCGTTCTAGTTAAGGTGCTAACAGTGGAAATAAATCTATTACTCAGGCTCCTAGAAATTGTCCGAAGATACCAAAAATCACATTTACAGTTGTCCACGTAATCAAAAAATTTCCAATGACCAACTTAATTATTGATGAGGAGAAATAGTGTTTTCAAACATATTCTAAGAAAGATGGATCTGTTTTTGTTTTTAAAATTTTTAACTGGAGTATGCTACATGCGAAGAATATACTAAAGAAAGCTATAACCTGAATTTAATACAGAGGTAATCTCGAAGAAATTTTCATATCTTACTAGAAAAGCAAGGCAAGTGCTCGCTGGGCTTATTATTCAGTAGACTCCTTATACAGTAGACTGTGAAAGAGCAGTATTCAAGTTATAACCAACTTTTTACCAAACTAAGTTTGAAATTTGTATATCTTCACTTTAATATACTTTAATAATCGCTGTGATATCGAATGAGGACATGAGACATCGTAAATAAAATCTTTACCATAATATTTGGAACATTTTTGTTTATAAGACAGGAATAAAAATTAAAAGGTTGAAAAGAATTGAGTAATTTTTTTTCTGTTTTAGTTGTGTTTTTTTTTGGTCATTCGAAAATTGTCGCATAATTTTAAAAATGGTCACATTTTTGTCATTTTTTTGAGACATATTCTCGCATATAGAGCCTTATCTGTTACATATTTATATCGGTGTAGGATAAACTCGAGTTTAGTATATAATTAAGAGAAATTCTTTTTGAGAGTGAGTATGCAGATACAAGTCTCGTTCTTTATCTGAAAAGACAATAAAAAATGCGCTTTTTAATAGCTTACCGATTCACTTAAAAATCACCCATTAAAACCGTTATCCCCTGTTCAGGGCCAGCGCTAAGGATTTCAAATTATTAACCAGTAAATTAGCCTAATATCAAAAGTATTCGCCCATTTTCGAAACTCTTCCCCAAATGTAAATCCTAAGAATTTTTTATGATTAATTTTTTTCCCATAGAAAACTATTTTATGGTAGTTTGCTTCAGGCTTATATTATTTGAATCCAATTCTAATTGGTTATGCGCCGCATCTAACAAAAATTTCTGTGATCGAATAAAAAATACTGATTTGTTTAGAAAAAATTATTATGACGTAATTTCGGGGATCGAGTTAAATTTCTTTCAGGTTAAAAATAGCATTCGCCAAAACACAATTTTATTCACCAAATTTACGATTTTATCGGATTTGACGAGGTGACAAATACTTAACTCTAACCCTGCCTTTTAGAATAAACTAAACAGTTTTTATTCGGAAAAACAGGTTTAACGCAGAGGTAAACACAGATGTCATGACACTCAGATACCTTAGACCTTCCCCCCCCCCTTTTTGTTTTTTCCCCCATCAAACGTGGTTTATAGCACCGTTTAAACAACTTGCATGGACTTCGTTATGTCGTTTCTCGTTTGGCGCATTTAAATCTATTCTGTCTCTTATATTATTAAAATCTGCATTCAGTCCAGAGTATTGTTAAAGTAAATGCCAACTTCACATATTATTTTAAAAATATACAAATAAAAATAATTTATTACTAAATTTTCAGTATTCATTGTAAGAAGAAGACGAATATTTAAAAATCATTCACTTGAAATAGATTGTTAAGTGCGCAGTAATTAAAAACTTATTTTTAATTTATTCCTAACGGAAAAATATGAATTTTATGACATTAGAAAATAAATCGTTAAATACTCGACATAAAACCTATCTTCTCAAACGATATGTTAGTAATAAAACCGCGGTGGTTGGAGCAGGACCTTCGCTCTGTAAGTCTTTTTAATGATGCCCTGATTTATTGTTCAGATTATTCTAACTTTTTGTAGTTATAACTTCTGTTCTGTTCTTCGAGTTTTGAAAGAAGCAGTCGACAATTAATGCTAGGGAAGATAAAAGCCCTCCGGATGGTAGCAGACGAAAAGAGGAGAAGCCGACTGTGACCGTAACTGAGCTGATTCACCTGTTGAATGCTTCTGCTAAATAATAGCTTCAAAAAAGCTATTCCGCCATCTTGGCTTATTGATCGAAGAAAGTCGGTTTTATTCGCATTTCAACTAAAGTGAATTCTTTTTTCTTTTTTTTAACAGAAGTAATAAATTTCCCTTTTATTTCGCTGAGAAAAACAATTGAATACTTTTAATTTGTTTTATACTCTTAAATTTAAGTCAAATCTCTTCACTTAATTATAATTATTATTAATATTACTCTTTTAATAATCGTTTTTTTTTCTTCAAAATCTCCTTTTTTTTACTAAATTCTTTTATAATTTTTTAATGGTTTTTTATTACATTTTTTTAATATATATTTAAGAAAAATAACCATAATTTATTTTCAGTAAATTAATGAAAATGTATCCGAAAATGAATATTAGTAAAAACGGTTTAAAAAAAACTGTTTGTAATCCTAAGATATAAATTGAAATGTGGGTGTTTCTCGTTTAGCTAATTCAACTTAAAGTATTTTTTTTATTTTTATGTACTAATGCACGTTTAAAGTTAAAGTAAGTCTCTTGTTTTAGAAAAAACATAATTTGTTTACAGTTAAGATTGTACTGAAGTAATGTTTTTCTTGTTTAAAAGATCTCATTCTAACTTAGGTTTTTTTTTTTTTTTTTTTTTAAAAAAAAGAAAACTCTGACTCAATACAAAGAACATTGCTTAATACGAGAATTAAAAAAAAAATCTGAATCAAATGTTTCTGAGTATTGGAAACAAGTAACTGGCATGTTATCTAACGATATCTAGTGAAGTTTATTATGTGAATAGACTTCAGCTAATTGTGTAAACAATGCGTCATTTCAATGTGAATCAGGTTAAAGTTGATGTCTGTGCTGAAAACTCACAACAGAGTTTTTTTTTTTTTTAAATTTTCGTAGTTTTAACCCCTTTCTTCTCTCTCCCGTGAAAATGACGGGGTGAGGTTTCGCTCTCTATTTCTCGCTCCCGTGATATCCCCTTGCTGGAGTGTTCAGTAGTAACACGCCAATAAGAATAAAACTAATTCATTTCTTTTGCCCGGAAAACTTTTTATTTTTCATTTTACACACCAGATGGCAGTACAAGGATATTTTTAAGGTAATTGTAGATAGTTAGTTTATTTTGAACTAGATGTCAGCACTAATCAAATGCGTGCATAATATACGCGTATAAAAAAATAGGCTCTTTTATGACCATTTTCTTGAAAATTAACCGATCGTTAAGGGGTTAAATTGGTATGTTTCGAAAGTAAAGATTTCAAGGTAATTTTTCCTCATTTGTATTTCTTTCCCCCCCCCCTCTAACTTAGTTTACGACACAGTTTAGACAACTTACATACATTCCCTAATTTTGTTAACATCTGGAGTACAATAGCTGTTTACAGTTTTTTCGCTCTTCAATTCTACTTGCTAAGTAGCATTTAACTCATTTAAATGCTCGTCCTTCTCTTTTCGATCAGTCTGTCATCTTCTCGGATTCCCAAGCTGCGATTCTGGCCATTGCCAACTACTCTCAAGCCCCTAGCTCTTTGTCCATTGTGAAATGTAGATCTTTAATGACAGAGATAGGTGAAAAATATAAAACAATTGCCTTACAATGGATCCCATCCCACTGTGGTAGCCCCGGCAACGAAAAAGCTGATGCACTTCCCAAAAAAGGTTGCTTTGTTAATCAAGCCCCAAATAACTTGGTTAGCTATAAATTCACTTCGCTAATGATTAATCATGCAATTAAGGCAACACATATATCATTGCTAAAACAACGAACAAAAGAAAAATCGTGGGGAAATGACATCTTTAATCTCCCCGATTGCCCAGAAGCAGTGCTGTAGCTGCCTTTCGTCTTGCTACCAAGCACGATTGCTTATACGCCCATCTTTTCCTTCTTAAAATAGTGGATCATCCTGCCTGCCCCCTCTGCCGTAGTGGTGCGACGATGGAAATTCTTAGGATTTTAAAATCCTTTTCCACACAGATGCTTTTCCCCTTCCAAAAATCTTCTTAGGCCTACCTCTAACTCTAGTTCCCATTAGTTTGTAATTGAAGATTTTAAATGCCAAGGAAGAAGGGTCCCGCAAGCTTTAAGCGACTTATTTTGATGTATTTGTTGATATCAGCTTCCTTGAACAGCCTCTATAGTTCAAAATTGTGTCGTCTCCATAAACCATTCACATTTATAGCACCGAAATTTTTTCTAAAGGCTTTTCTCTTAAAAACAGCAAGCTGGTCTGCTTATGATTTAGTTAGAGACCATGTTTCGGATCCATAAGTAAGACAGGTCTAATTGATTGCTTTATATAGCTAATTGATTGTTTTATTATTTTTGTTCGCCTTTTAATTAATTTTGACTTAAAGAAATGTTCTTAAGCCATTAAGGCATCGTTTAG